TGTCTTTAGATTCTACTTTAGTGCACGGTGTACTGGTCGCCATCTTTTGTTTTCCCTGGGGGAAAGCTAGAAACCACACTCTCATCAAAGCCTTCCTTCTGGTGACCTCGGTGCCCTGACTGGCCTTGGGGAGACGTGAGATCTGCTTTGGGTTTCTAACATCTGGACCCTGCATTTGGCTTGCTTCTGCCTGACCTTCAGTGTCCACAACCATATGAGACATTTCCTTAAAGTTTGGTGAGTTAGTAAGTCTTAAACAGAAGAAAGACAAGACAAAGACAATGTTTCAGTACAAGGTCATAATGGTGTCCAAGGTTTTATAGAGAGTTGGCAGATCAAATAGAACACAAGAGGGCAAAGACAACTGTCACAAATATATAGGTGGTAGATCAATACCTCACAGGTACAGACCTGACGACAGAAGCAGTAATGGGACCACGATTGGGACATGCATATTATGCTGCTAGACCAAAGGTCTTACAAGATTGGTTCAGGACCCTCCAACCAACGCAGTCATGCCTTGGGACCCTAGTACAAGGGCCCATCAAGAGCATACCCAGGTGAGACCCTAGAGCAGCGGTTCTCAACCTGTGGGTCTCGACCCCTTTGGGAATCAAACGACCCTTACACAGGGGTCACTTAAGAACACCGGAAAACACATATTTCCGATGGTCTTAGGAACCGAAACACTGTTCCTCTATCCATCCCCAGGTGGGTCTGCCCACATGCATATACACCCACATACAAGTATCCATCGTGAAGACTGTTACCCATGCTACACCATGCTTCCAGACAAAATTTCATTTATTTGTCATTAGAAATAAATATTTCACAATATAGAATTATATATTGTTTTGTGATGAACCACTATGCTTTAATTATGTTCAATTTGTAACAATGAAAATACATCTCGCATATCAGATATTTACATTATGATTCATAACAGTAGCACAATTACCGTTATGAAGTAGCAATGAAAATAATGTTATGTTGGGGGTCACCACCACATGAGGAACTGTATTAAAGGATCGCGGCATTAGGGAGGTTGATAACTACTGCCCTAAAGACTCAGCCTCTTCTCCCTGGAATGTGGACAGGAGTGGCAATAATTCCCTTTCAAACACACACTACCTGGGAGCAAGACGATTCAGCTTGCCAGTAAAAAGGTAAGAAAGAAATTCAATGGAGGCTAAATCCACCTGGAGAACCAATCAAAATGGATTTGGGGCTTTCACTGTAAACTGTAGCCTTCAGCAAAACATACAGCTCAAAACTGGAATAAAAACCTGAATGGTATATGGTGATGATTAGTTTAATAACAATTTGTGTATAATTATCATTACTACTCTATGAGTTATAGTCTTAAATTCAATAACTATAACCTAATATGGTCAGAGATAATTTAAGTTAAAATATTGCAAAGGCATAGAAAAACGTGTGCAACAATTTAATGAATTGCTTTCATTTTTTTAAATGAATGAAATTACAATTAATTAATGAAATTACAAAAACATTATTGGAACTACCTTGGAAAACCCTGGATACATAGATACCTGCACGCCGTTAAAGGAGCCCTGACGGTGCATTTTCGTAGTGATTACCCATTGGGCTGCAATCTGCAAGGTCACCAGTTTGAAACCAGCAGTCACTTCCCAGAAGAAAGAGGAGCCTTTCTACTCCCGTACAGAATTACAGTCTTGGAAACTGACGGAGAGTTCTGCCCTTTCCTATAGAGTCGACATCAATGATAGTGCATTTGGTTGTTTTTTTTATGATGATGATTCTGTTTGCTTTAGTAGTGCAGTGGTTAAATGTTTGCCTGTTCGTTGAGAGTTTGGTGGTTCAAATCCACCAGCTGCCCTGGGAAGAAAAGACCTGGTGATTTGTTCCCTAAGGTACACAGCAAATCCACTAGTTAAGTAAAAGAGAGCGGAGAAAATCTTCATAGTACCCAAACGACTCTGCTAGGTCCACCTTCCAGTAGAAACAAATGGTATACAAAGATCCAGCAGCACACTGACTTGCCATTGGCCCCATTACCCCCAGGAAAGCATGGTTGGCAGGAAGGCAATTGGTGAAGCAGGACTCTGCATCGATTAGCAGAGATTTTTAAGAAGTGATCCATTTCTCAAGGATCCTTTTTTTTTTAACTTGTCCCTTCTCAGATTGCCACCATGATACTTTAGTGTGGGGATAAAGACAAAGAAAGAAACCTGGCCTTTTGTTAGAAATAGACTTTCTACTTCATGCTGGGTGGCTGACACTAGGAAGTTCTTGATTATCAAAGCTTTGGCCCTAAAAGTTAGGAGAGAGATAAGTCTTTCTACTCCTATAAAGAGAGATAAGTCTTTCTACTCCTATATACAGTCTCAGAA